AGCCCAAGCCGCACTGCTCTCATGCCCAAGCCGCACTGCTCTCATGCCCAAGCCGCACTGCTCTCATGCCCAAGCCGCACTGCTCTCATGTACTCATTTTCATTCTAAGCAACTTAATTAACTAGACTTGATTTAGAAGTTTAATTAAATTTTCTCTGCATTTTGGATGTAAATGAGTGTTCAGAATTTTTTGTGAAAATATTTTTTAAGTTTGTAATGATTACCTGTAACTTGCAACTTAATTTCAGCTTAACGAGTTTCTCTTCTCAGCCTTAGACAGTTAAAATAAATGAGTCATTAGGATGTATTTTAATTCAAAATAATTTGTAATGTCTGACGGCACAAATGAATCATTCTAAAGTTCCTTACAGTTGACACACATTTGACTTTGCATTATCACAGTTAATTTGTAAAGCGCCTGAAGGCTTGCAGTAGTTAATAGATCAGTATTTTAATAGATCAGTTTTTTAAGCTGACTGGTACAAAATTCCGCATTGGCTGAAGTTATAATTACACTTATGATTGTACTTGTCAGTCTCAGACCTCAATGCAGAGGTTCGTCTTGCTATCGCTGACATTGTCAGCCCAATCCTGTGGCAAAATTCAGAAATATCCTTTGCAAGTAGATACAACTTTCCCAGAGTGGAAGGAGAAATCCACTGTCTTGAAATTAATGGTTTTTATAACATGCACTTAACAAAATTAGTAATAATGTTCTATGTTGTCAGATATTGTTGATGGAGCAATAATCTGCACCATATGCTAAGTAATTAATATAGAGGAATTGTTTCAGGACGGAACCTAGAGCTGAATATTTATATACCCCCATTGGTCTTTCTTGACAGCAAATATTTACAATCCTGTAAAAATTCTTGTCCTGCCCATTTTTATAAAAGCAAGCTGAGAGAAAAAGACGGAGCAAAGGAAAGACAAACGGAAAGGATGTGATGGTGTGATAAGCTCAGAGCAGCAGATCTGTTCCCAGGTTGCTCCAGGTGTTAATCGATTGCTAACTGAATCCGGTCTTGATGGACTCGTGGTTTAAAGGGACAGAACTACATCACGCCCCCGACTCGTGCCAGCGGGTGAGTGAAGGGCACACGGCCAGGATGTGACATGGGGGGGGTCACCAAAGCTTGCTGCACTGTCACATAGCGTCAAGGGGGAAACAGGCACTTAAAAAGCATGATGGGGAGGTGGGGGGAGAGAAAGGGGCTTAATAGGGACAGACTCTTTAATCGGGATCAAGGCCAGAGAGACATGAAGCCTTTCAGGATGATAGACGCAAGGACACCAATAAAACGGTTCAGGAGGCAGAAGCTACAGTGAGGAGCCCAAGCGGCCAGTAGTGTCACAGGCTCTGCTCTCCGTGCTGCTCAACACATTTTATAGTTTACAGAGTTTATGTAGATATGTACACAGAGTTCAGTGCTCTGGCTCTTTTACATTTTATTTATTTAGCAATCGCTTTTATCCAAAGTGACATACATTTTTTTGTTGAGTTGGGGGTTAAGGGCCTTGCTCTGGATCACTCTACCGACCCTGAGACTTGAACCAGTGACCTTCTGATCACAGGTACAGCGCCCACACCCACTGAGTCACACCCCACCACACACACACAAACCTCACAGACACGATGTAAAACCCAGTCAACGTGTCTCCCCCCCCCCCCCCCCCCCCCCATTATCTACCATGGTTGGTGCAGAGTTCTGACCTCAAACCTCTTGATCTGGCCTCTCTGATACTCCAGCTTGTTCTCCAGGTCGCAGACCCGCGCCTCCTGCAGACTCACGATGCTCCTCGCCACCGTGGAGGCCTCCAGGTTCTGCTGCCGCGTGACGCTCTGCTGGAGCTGCCACCCCCAGCCCCGGGGGGAGAGGATGAGAGGAGGAGGAGGAGGAGGAGGAGAAGGGGAGACGAAAGGTGAGCCGCAAAGGCGGAGCTCGAGCAAGCTGTCAGCAGGGAGAAGAAGTAAATATTTTGAAGATACGGCCTGATGTGGTCTGATTTAGGGCTAATTTAGAAGTGCCGCCTCTATCCAGGGACTTTTCAGTGCTCCATGGTAACCTTGGCAAGCAGACGTAAGCATAGCATATAGCTACGGGTGTAAATTCATAACCAAGAGGTTACCGGTCCAAGATCACTGAGCAAATGACTTAACCTGGATTGCTCCAGCATCATGCCCGAGTGAGCGGCTGAATTAACGGACAGCCGCTGCCTCCGCAGAGACAGGCATCAGCTAACAAAGCACACGTGATGTTACTGCAAATACCTCTCAGCCTTTAGCTGCCTTGTCATGTAGCCCCATGCCCTACGCTTACCCTAATGAGATGAGAGCTTCTTGGAAAACAGATGGATCGAGATTTAGCCTGTGTTTGAAATGTACCTCCGTATCAGTGAGGGCTTGCGGGATACTGCGCAGCGCTCAGAGGATGCACGTTGTCAGGGAGCTGCACATTAAAGGATATTTATATGCTGGTGTTTACCGTTTCGTAACAGAAGCTGTGAATCCACCCCCATACTTCAGGCTGCCGTATTGCAAGTCAGGACCAGCAGGGGGTAGTATTGACCCATGGTTTATTTTTGATACTGACTGCTCTTAGCAAGCCTGCTGCTATGAAAAAGTGTGTGTCAGTGGCAGGCAGTAGAGCTCTCAGCCTGTGTTTGCCAATATCCCTGCATGCCGGATAGAAGTGTGGCATTCACAGCACCCCAGCCGGGGTGATGCCCTGGGAGCCGGGTAAGACCCCTCCCTCTCTCATACCTCGTCCTGCAGTCTTTGCTTCTCCCTCTTGGCCTCCTCCAGCTCGGCCTGCAGCTCCCGTATCTGAGAGATGTCACTGGAGGACTGACGGTCAGACCGGTGACAGTCAGATGCAGAGTAGGAGGGGCACATAGGCTCGTCCTTTGTGAATAAACATGCACACACTCGCACAGGCACGCACACATGTACACACACAGGTATGCATGCACACACACATCGGCACACACACACACACTCGCACAGGCACGCACACNCACAGGTATGCATGCACACACACATCGGCACACACACACACACTCGCACAGGCACGCACACATGTACACACACAGGTATGCATGCACACACACATAGGCACACACACACACTCGTACAGGTACACACACATACACTGGCATGCACAGACATATGTACAGGCGTGCACACACAGACATGCACATACACAAGCAGAGGCAAGCACACACACAGTAACAAAAAGGCACGGATACACACATGCATGCATATACACAGGCATGCAAAGGCACGCATTCACACATGCACACAGGCACGCATACACGCAGGCACATAAAGGCACACATATACACAGGCACGCAAAGGCATGCATACACACAGGTGCGCATACACACAGGCACGCACAGCCCACCTGGGCTATGAGAGCCTTGTGCTTCTTCATCAGCTCATTGAGGTCTTCCTGGTCTTCCTCCAATCTTTTCAGAAGGTCTGCATTCTCGTGCTGCAGGTGGGATAGCTGTTCATCCACCTGCAGGGGGCAGTACCATGGGTGTGAAATAAAACAGCCATCTGTCTTGAGAGCCACCCTGCATTACCTGCACGGCCTGTACATCCCCTGCTTGTCCTCCATGTTTGCTAACCCTTGCCTGTCATCTTCACCCCCATCATTATCTTTGAACTCCTCATCTCTTTGCCTCCCCCCCAATCCCACCCACCTGGCCTCCTCTTTCTCCACTGTGCCCCCTCCCTATCACACATCAAGTTCATATTAAAAATGTGATTTAATACAGATGGTTAATTTTAAAAATAACCACAAAACAAAACTGCTAGCAAAAACAGGCAAAAACATCAGACAAAACAATCACTGACCCGAGTCAGTCAATCACAGGCCCTGAGCAGCTCTCCCAGAACCTTAGCTGTCTGCCCGCGTCACGCACATCGCTATAGCCTGCGTCACGCACATCGCTATAGCCTGCGTCACGCACATCGCTATAGCCTGCGTCACGCACATCGCTATAGGCTGCGTCACGCACATCGCTACAGGCTGCGTCACACACACTGCTATAGGCTGCGTCACGCACACTGCTATAGCCTGCGTCACGCACATCGCTATAGCCCGCGTCACATACACCGCTATAGCCCGCGTCACGCACATCGCTATAGCCTGCGTCACGCACATCGCTACAGGCTGCGTCACGCACATCGCTACAGGCTGCGTCACGCACACCGCTACAGGCTGCGTCACGCACACCGCTATAGCCTGCGTCACGCACATCGCTATAGCCTGCGTCACGCACATCGCTATAGCCTGCGTCACGCACATCGCTATAGGCCGCGTCACGCACATCGCTATAGCCCGCGTCACGCACACCGCTATAGCCCGCGTCACGCACATCGCTATAGCCCGCGTCACGCACACCGCTATAGCCCGCGTCACGCACATCGCTATAGGCCGCGTCACGCACATCGCTATAGGCCGCGTCACGCACATCGCTATAGGCCGCGTCACGCACATCGCTATAGCCTGTTAGCATAGCCGC